AGTGTGTGTGTGTGTGTAGTGTAGTGTGTGTGTGTGTGTGTGTGTGTGTGTGTGTGTGTGTGTGTGTGTGTGTGTGTGTGTGTGTGTGTATGAATTGTGGAAACAGATGGCTTAGGAAAAGAAGCCATATCCTATTCGTTACTATTTAACAAGTATATCCATTTCATTTACTATAAACATTTGAAACCCCGAGAGTACCCCTGATAGGATTGAGAAGAGTTAACCAATTAACCTAGTCACTAATCAATTATGAAAGCGCATCTACTCTTAAAATACATCCCTACTTTCATACCTTTAAATATTATATCATCTTCATTATACTCCTATAATTTGTCTTACGCCCGATATACGATATTTCTTCCCATCGAAATGAACGTAAGATTACCATATATCACTAGATTATGAGATATTTCTAAAAAGGAGGACAACTAACATGGTCAGTAAAATTGTCCTCTCCGCTGACATACTTTAAAAATAATCAGAGAATAAAAAAAATCTTTTAACAAATAAAAAATACCAGGAAAGCAGAGACAGTTTTGAAATGTCCTTGGATGAGAATGAATCGCACTCCAAACAATTCCCTCATTTCATTCCTCTATCACTTATCTCTCCTTATCTTTCTTATTGACTATTGGTCATAAAATTGATTACTACTCTGATAACAACATAAGCATTCTAGACTTTATTACTTTGAAATATTCAGAAAATACATGAAAGAAGGATATGATACAGTTCGATTTGATTTGATTTGATCTGATCTAATCCTATCCATTTGATCTATATTTATTTTCAACAATGGAAATTTTTGATAAACCAAGTGGAAAGAAGGATGTAATAATATAAGAAAGCGAAAGAGGGAGATATGGTATAGCAGACCTTTGCCAGTGAGAGTAACGGTGATACTAAGATATACGAGAAAAGGGAAAAGGTCATCACTAACAAGGGTCATCTTGTTTACGTGTTTATAAATGATTGGTTGACGATACTCTGACCTCAACACAATCATACTTCCTTGTTATTTCATTCTCAATCAAGTAAGTTAATGTTTGAAGAACGAAGTGTTCTCCTTGAGATAATAATAGGTAAAGCAATAAAATTAAAGCAAAAAGATTGCTGTGAAGTGGCAATATTTGGCGTGAACACATGATACTATAAGATGAAAATCTAAGCTTCGGTAACTTCAAAAGGATTCAAATATTTGAATATTGAAGAGAAAAGCAATTCCCTCATCAAACAGAAATCGTTTCATTCAAACAACATTCACATTCACATCACATTGTCAACAGAATGACCGGATGATTTGTGTGGCATGTCTCTGACAAAGTATTATACTTCCCATTCATAAATTCATATTATTATTCGGCCGTTTTAGCCGTAAATTTGCATAGTACAAATATAGACATTCTTCTATCGTAATCACTGATTTATCTACTGATGATAATAATCCTACGGATTTTGTGCCGCCACTTTTTCGTCTCATTAAACTAAACTCTATGACTGACCGTTGGTCATCGAATTTAATAAGGAGATGAGAGAGAGGGAGCTGTTTAACAAATTCGTTCAACAATTATCGAGAAAGTTATGGAAAAACTTCGATACATAAATATACCACTGTCTACTTTTACAAGACTATTAATAATTAAAAGGAGAGAGAGAGAGAGAGAGAGAGAGAGAAAGTTTGTTCGGAACATTACAAAACATTAATTTCCATCTAAGTGTTGGTTAGCTAGAATTTTTGAGCTAAAAAAAAAACTCGAAAGGTAGATGAGTCATGAGTCACCATGCTGATACTATTTGATCATCGATGAGAGAGAGACAAGGGAAGCAATCATTTTGTCGGTTAGTAAAGAAGAGAGGATGTTGACAAAATTCTCGACATGAAGACTTCAAAGACAAATCCCGCTCTTGTTTTTTTTTTTATTCGGCAACATTTCCAAATCAATAATTGGACGCAACGTAAATAATCAAATATTTGTGAAAGATTAACACATCATTATGAGATGTTTGTATTGTTACAGCTACAATTGCATTTCCTCATTTCCAGAATATTTCACGTTA